CAAAAATTAAGAAGAAAAAATAATTGGGCCATGAAAGGGTTAAATTATGCTTTGAAGGCTTAATAGGAGTTAACTGGTGATGTGAGTGTTGTGAGTGTTCGGAGAGGTGGGGAATGGGAGGAAGTACTCAACAACAGAAAGAACAATTTATGACAAGGCCAGGAAGCCACAGAGAGCATCATGTATTCAAGGAACTGAAAGTAGACCAGTGTAGCTGAAGCATTAATGATGCAGAGGGGATGAGATTAAAGGAAAAAATACAATGCTAAAGAGGCAGACAAGGGCCAGATCAGTTGTCTCATATAAACCATAACAACTATTTTGGTATTTATCCTAAGAGTAATAAGAATTGGGAGAAAGAATTTGAGAGTGCAAATGTATAATTGGTGTGATTACTTAGAAAGCTCTTCCAGTATTATTACAAGAGATGAAGGTAAGCCAAACTGGTGTAATAACATAGAAGTGGAGTGAAGATATTTAGAAGCTACAACTGACAGGCGTTGATGATGAAGTTGGTTATGAGGGAGAAGGGAGAGGAAGATTTTCAAGTATGACTCACAGCTTCTTGCCTAATGCAACTATACAATTGAAGGTGTCATTCCCTGTGATGTTATAAACTTGCAAAGCAATGAAAATACTATCTTACATAACCAAAACTGTATTAAATCAATGAGAGTACTCAATGGAACGGCAATTGATTATATGTAGATTCTAATTGATTTATAATTTTAATGACTATACCTTAAACATATGGTTTGGCTTTCCAGTTTATTAGTATCTCTGAAAAAAGTTTTTGAGATAACTAAATGGCCAATACTACCTATATTTACAAAGAGGGAATATTTCAGAAAACGATTGTTTTACTTGTCTGAGCCATATATTTAATTTTGGTGGGGAAAGGATACTTTTGAAATGAGAGTAAAATATAATGGAAACATGATTCAGTGTGTGAATACTGACTTCACATAACTTATATAAAGGCTTCCACACCATTAAAATATTTTATTTGAAAGCTATGTGCTATTTTTGTTAGAGTAATATGTACTGGAGTTAAGACTAATATATATTTTAATGTAGTGAAATAAAAATCGACGTTGTTTATGTCATAAACCCTTTAATCATGATCTCTTATATGACATGATGCATACATTTGCTCGTTACAGTTACCTAAGTTATACTGAAAAACCAAACCAAACCCTTTGCCGTTGAGTTGATTGCGACTCATAGTGACCCTATAGGACAGAGTAGATCTGCCCTATAGGGTTTCCAAGCAATGGCTGGTGGATTCAAACTGTCAACCTTTGATTAGCAGCTGAGCTCTTAGTCGCTACGCCACCGAGGCTCCTATTTATCATTATTAGTTTAATAAATATCATTGAACAAATTATTGAGTATATTATTGAATACAGACTATGCACAAGGCACCATGTCAGTTCCTGTAGGTGATACAGAACACATATACTCTGCTTAGGACACCCTATATTCCATCACTTAACACACTCAATTCCTTTCACCTTTCATGAGCTTTGATTATATATTATTTATTTTAGCCAAATGAAAACTTGAGATTTTAAAATATGTTTAGTTATTTCTTCAAATTCAAGAAATTAAAATATTTGTGACTAAAACAAATAACTACAATAAACTGCAAAGTGAAATAATGGAATGCTTATCAATTTATTTAATATTTGATTTTTGTTATGGTCTATTTATGTTTTAATTAAAGTAATTCAGTAACCGAGAGTAAAGAACTCTGCCATACTTAGTTATATATCCGAGAACTCATATTGAAAAATATTCTGTTAACTGAACTTGTATTTATTTGTAGCCAACACAAGGCCTTTTATGAATTCCCACATAAATAAAAGATAAACAGAAATAAAGATAAAAATTCTTGAATTTATGAATATAGATTTGGAGAGTGACAAGTATAAATCCTGTCATGTCACTGTAGAGCCCAAGTATGTACAATATTTCTTCATTACATTAGCCCTTTCTTGTGAAGAAACTTTAAATGCTCATATGGTTTTACAAGAAAAAAAATTACCTTTAATACTTACTGATATTGCAAGCCTATCCAGATCAGGAAGAGCACAGTGGTCCAAATCATCATTTTTCATATGAGACATTACATAAATTGCATAGCTTGTTATATTGACTGTAATATATGTGATATACATATCCCTATTTATACTACTCAGCCTACAGTAGAAAAGTAGTATAAATAAGGCTTTAGGGAAGGCATTACTAAGTTTGAGTGATAGTTGGAGACAAATCAGGTCGACTGAATTTTATTTTTATTAAGATTGATAATTGAATCTTATATAGCCTAAAATAGCCACAGAAATCATCAGGAACCCACATTTCAAAACCCTCAAGAACATTAGGTTGTGGATATACATTATAATAAAACTCTTGTACTCTTCTATATATAGTTAATTAACATGTTTAACAAGATTAACAAAATTATTAGTGCAAGTAGCCAGTCTCCAAACTTTTATATTAACTATGTTGTACATCTATTTTTCATGTCACTAACATGCCATGTAAGAGCCAGCATTTTGGAGAAGTGAAGTAGGCAACCACCTTACATACTTCCGTGATGAGATTTGAGACATATTTTCTCTTTCGGCCCATCAAGGAATTCAATTGTTAGAGCCACATTTTCAATGTTAAAATGTGACTATGAACGGGTAGGACTTGTCAAGTATTGCCACCTTAGGATGTATCTGTGTGTCAAATCTTCTCCAATTAACAGGTGGATAAGAGCAAAGTTTCAACAGGTATTTGTACAAAGAGAGGTGCCCAAGCCTGAGAGGGAAGTGACAAGCACTCAACATGGGGTTGTGAATATTTGGCACATGGTAATAGAGGGATAACTTGGTAAAGACAGAAGAGAGCTGAAAGGAAGAAATTGGCTTACTTCACCTTCTCCTAAGGTTGACCGCAGTTTTTACTACCAGGCAGGGCTTACAATGCCATTGCTATATGTGAGAAGACTTTGTGTGAGCATTGTTTAAAGCTTGAGAGCATAAACTTACCTGCTTGTCCACGTCAACCTATTACACTAACGCAGTGAAAACACCTGCAGGCAAACTTGGATCTTCTCAAACTTTCTGAGTGACTTCCTGTGCACTCTCAGGACAGCTGCTGGAGCTCTTTAAAATTTTACACTCTTTGAATTTCACCACTGAGCCTGCCCTCCCCCTGCCCCTCAGAAAGCTGCCTAGAGCATCAAGAACTCTTTAAATGCATATTAAACACAGGAAGTGTAACCTTTGCCAGAATCTTAAATGGTGAGTCTTTAAATAACAAAGTAGGACAATTTGATGTTGGCTATTCTGGCTATGGGTTCATTTTAATGCAGCCATTTTGATTCAACTGTCTTGATGTAAAACTACTGTTTTGTTCTTTATTTTCTGGTCATCAATAATGTGTACAGCAGACATTCCCAAGCCTATTTCATGCCTAACCTCTCCCCAATTTTGATAAACGACCACTTTCCACTTTATGTCTGTATTTTTAATTTTTTAATATAATGAGTATTAATGTTATACTAAAAGTGTCTGTTAAAATTTTACTGTCTGTTAAAAATGAGTTAGTCCCTAAAAGGACAAATATCGTATGACCTCACTTATATAAAAAGACAAGAAAAGGCAAATGTATAGAGAATAAAGCTTATTAGTGGCTACCAGGGGTGAGAAGGAGGAGGAAAGTGGAGATTAACGGTGATGGAAAAATCACATTGATTAAGGGTAGGGTTGCACAGCTGATTATTGTAATTGTTATCAATAAGTTGTACACCTGTAAAAAGTTGAATTGGCAAAAGTTGTATGATAGATATATTTACAACGACCATAATAAAAAGGAAGAGTAGCTGCTGAGGCTGCTTATGTGCAACCAATAACCCTCATGGGATTTGATTCCTTGCTTTGGAGGTTTAGGGTCATGATTTCATGGGACATCCCAGTTAATTGGCCTAATATCGTGTTTAGTGCTTCTGGTTATAGTCACAACAACAAAAATAAAATTTTTTAAAAAGTGAATTAGGCTCTCTGATGATATCAATTCTTCCTCCAAAGCTATCCTTCTAAAAATGTGTTGTGTTTTTAAATATATGTATATGACTGTGAGAATAGTCAGAAATTTAATTGAGAATTTCCTGTTAAATCTGGAGCTTAAAACAAGGGATCAAATTTTGGCCTACAATGCCTAATTTGAAATATATTTACCCAATCAAACAATCATGATCAAGAAGCCTATAGAATGTAGAGTTGTTCATTCTCTAAAAAGCCAACCTCGTTGCCAATGAGTCAATTCCGACTCATAGTGACCCTATAGGACAGAGCAGAACTGCCCCATAGGATTTCCAATGAACGGCTGGTGGATTTGAACTGCCCACCTTTTGGTTAGCAGCCAAGCTCTTAACCACTGGGCCACCAGGGCTCCATTCATTCTCTTGATCAGTGTTTCTCAGCATTATGCGCCCTTTTGAGAAACAATTATCTCCGTCTTCCCTCCACTTTCTTCTGAGATTCTTAGGCCCATCAATCTAGACTATTTTGAAGAGCTTAGCTTTTTGTAATTTATAAAAGGAAACTAATAAGTGGATTTTGCTCCCACTCCTGGATGTAAAGAGTTTGTTTTTGAAGGAGGCAACTAAACATTCATATTTTGTCTTCACTAACCTAATTGTTCATATTTATGCCAACTTATTTTATATTTATTTAATACAAAGTTGGGGTGGTAGTCAATGATTTGGAAAGGATGTCTGTATCACATATTAATCGATAATAAAACAGGTTAAGTTTCTTTTTAGGCTGCACTAAAATGTCATTTTTCAATAACATAATATTCTCTAGAAATGGTAAGCCATAGAAGCATACAATTTACTTCTCAGAGGTAGGTCTATGCTAGCACAATAATAGGAATAACCTAAATATAATAGCTCAACATTATTGCAACATACACATCCCAAGACAGCTTATGGGTATACTTACAATAATTTTTGAAGGACAGCATGGTTTGGCCTATGCTACAGATGTTCGCGGGTATTAGCTGATAACCCTAAAAGCAAAGATTTAGAAAAACGCAATGAGGACTCTATAAGTAAGATGCCATTTAGGGTAAGGTGCCAATAGTGTAAATGACTATTTACACCATTCATATATAGAATATGACTGAAACATAGTGTGGCTGATATCCATCTGCTCCAGAAGAGAGTCAGTCTCATTTATAATAAGTTGAATTTAAAAATAACATTAGCATAGCAGGTATGTCACTGTCCATCCTTCAGTTAAAGAGGCAATTCCATATCAGTCAAGTAATATAAATGAATCAGCAAAATTCTAAGTCAAATGTTAAGTTAAAATATTATTTCACATAAAATAATTACAGACCAGGCATAGTTAAATGGTATTTTATTGATAGATATTAAAACAATTCTAGAAGCTGGAAAGATAAATAATATTTGAAAATCACCATTTTGACACCAACTATTTTCCAAGTATCAATTGCCTGTTTTTACTTTTTATGCAAAAACAAAACTGACACAAACAAATATTAGCCAGGTACATTTCTGCAGTAGGACAAATAAATTTGGTGTAGCAACATTAATATGTAATATATTTTAAGAACAAAAAGTTTCCCAAACCCACAAAGCATGACCAAAACTTGTTACATATGGGATTTTCTTTTAACATAAAGCTAACTCTTCCATTCAGCCAAGTAAGTAAAGTGGAGTGATGTAAAGAACATTAAGATTTTAAGAAAGATATAGGAATTGGTGATTATTGTATTACTTGAGGATATTAAAATTTTTATTAGCTTATAAACTTACCAATACAAAGTAACATATTTGAAGCATGGTATAAAATATTTATATGATAAATTTTAAAGGCACTATTTAAATAATTTAATGTGACTACCACTGTAATCGCTGAAGATACAATATACTCCAACAACAATTATTATACTTTTCATTTCCTATGACAGTAAAAAATAGTTTGACTTCAAAGTAGTGATAAATAACATGGGTAAAAGCTTTGTTGTTTTCATCTGAAATTCAGAAAATACATTTAGCATTTATAAATTTGAACTAATATTTTCTTGCCTTTCTTACCACTCCAAATAGTGCAAAGATTTACTGAAATAATTGTAAGAGAACACATGATCACATGAAGCCTCTATTTTAACGCGATGATAGGGGACCTAGTAAACAAAAATAATTTATTGGGAAACAGAATTGTAAAACTGGTTCTAAGTAGTACGTTTCAAGAAGCAGAGGTTCAAAATTAATAGCAATCTTTGAGCAACTATGAGACTCCATGCTTGGTGAAGAAGCCAGTGGCCAAGTTATTAACCTGTTCAATAAGAACTGTATCTAACACTGCAGTAAAGCACGATCTGCTCACCTGTTGTAACCTCCCTTTAATTTTACATAATTGCAACAAAGTACCGTTGGAGGGAAAAAACAGTTGTGGCCACAGAACTGCTGCCAAGAGAATTTCGGCCCCCTGGTGGTCAGCTGTGACTATTGCAATCAGAACAATGCGAGCTGACAGACTTTATGTCATTTATTCATGAAGGATTTATTTATTGTGGGCTTTTTGCGAGTGGAGGGAATTGAGATATCTTATAATGAAGCATTCATGCTCCTTCATAAAAAAAAATCAATCAATCTTATAGTTTTTTTAAAAAAATTTCTCTAAGACCTAGCAACTGAAAATGTTCTCTGATGTCTCTAAAGTTTGAATGTAGTTTTCTAAAATTCTAATTAATTTTGAATAATTCTGGAAAACTCTAGGTGAAGTTAAACCTTTATCAATTTCTATCTTTGTCTTTAGCCCTGCTTGCTTCTCCCCTTCTCGATGATCATGACATTCTTTATATTAATAGTTCGCATCTGTCATACACTTTCCTTTTCCCAGTCTTTTTCTTCAGCTAATTATACATGCCAGATATATTTTATCAGAGTTCTGTCATTTCAAGTTTTATTTGACTTCTCTCTCTCATTGAACTATTATTATTTTTTTAATTCCAACATGGACTTTGAATGATTTTTCTCTAAATAGAAAAGAAAGATGCTCCTAACCATAACGCCACTCCACATATTAATCTAAACATTATGTAACTCCCTGCTGTAAAAATAGTGAACAGAATTTTTTAAAAATTTTACATATGGTATCCTATTACCTCTGACATTATAACTGATTTATGAAATGAAATTAAGGATAATTGTATGGTTGTTCCAGAATGGTTTCATCTTACTTTTTGTACAAAAATTTTTATTTTGCTTTCAGCCTTCCCTGAGACAGGATATTATAAAATTGTACTTTCAATTCAAAATTGTGCTTTAAAAGTCATAAGAACCCTGGGAAGATTTAATGGATAAGTTTGCAGCTTTATTTCTCCCTAGTGGAAATAATAGGGAAGAACATGCATTTAAAGTGAAATGTCTGTCCAAGAAATGTCTATTTTATTGTGGCTAAGAGTCATCATTAAAATACCAGTACTCAGTCCTGAGCAGAATGACTAAATGCTAGTGTTACAAAAGAACTTAATGCACTTCTTTGGAATGACATAGATATTCGGACTCATTTAAAAAGAAGGGAGTTATCGCTCATCAAGATTAAAACAAGACCACACAAGAACCAAATGGTACCCTTTACTGCCTACTTGGCTTTTTAAAAATCTACTTTAATACCATAATTTACATACAATAAAATGTACATATTTTAATTGTAGAGTTTGATCAGTTTTGATCAATATGTATACCTGTGCAATCATGACCCCAGTGAAGATATAGAATATGTCCATCCTCCTGTTCCTTTGTATGCTCCCCCTTCCCTACTTCAGGTAACCACTTTCTAACTTCTATCACTATAGATTATTTGGCCAGTTCTAGAAGTTCATATAAGTGAATCGTACAGTATTCACTTCTCCTTTTATATTTCATTTATCCTTTCTTCAATGCATTTTTTCTCTTTTACTGAGTCTTATTTGTAGACTATTTGAAGCACACATAGCCTCTTGCCTTATTCTGTTGATTTATTATTTAAATGTTCTTAACTTTCCCTACAAGATTGTTTAAAACCTCAATTTTTGTCTAATACAATGTTGTTGTTTTTGTTAGGTACGGTTGCACTGATTTCAACTCATAGCAACACTTAACCATACTCGTCACCAGGGCTCCTTGTCTAACACGATACTGCCTTTTAAATTTACTGTGCCATGTTGAAGAGAGCAAAGGAGTAGACTGTGAAACCTGGAATAATGAATCAGAAGTCCAACAGAACATGAGAAACCAAAAGAGACATTACAAAAGACAAAACCACTGGGGAAAACTTTCAAATACAAAATGGTACCTTGTCTGTAACTCCTCATATTTATTACAATGCAGATAGATATATTAGTACACTTTGTAACAAGCTCTCCTGATAAAAGCATAGAAAAGTTATTTTCTACTATGTATGGAGCATATAATTCTCATATTTTAGCAACAAAGATTAAGACATGTATTTGGGGATGTTATGAATAGGATCTATTTTATATATTTTATTGATATATATGAGATTTATTATTTAATGGAAAGAATATTAAATAATAGATATCACATTTTAGATAGAAAGCCTCAGTTTTTTTATTTGTTTTATTGTACTTTTTTATTACTAATACTGGCAAGTAAAATGTATGCTAACTGCGAGTTCCTACTAATGTGTTATGCTGTAGTACTAGTGAAAAAAAACGTAATGTCAATCAGAAGAAGAGGCAATTTTTACTTCATAAAAATCCTCTGAATAGGTGTAACTTAAGGAAATATGTTCCATATTAGAGATTTGGAAAAGAAACAGATGGTGAACTTGAGTCAACTGCTTTTTATGGGATTCAATTACAAATAGCATGAAACAAAAGTTTTCGGAGGTAAACGCCTCATCTCTGGAATGGATAGTCGTATTTGGCAAATCTTGATTAGACAGAACGGAGAAAATGAAAGAAATGGGCTAGAAATTTAACTTCCATGAGTTTGAAGCTTAGGTTTCCCTAATTACTTGATTTTAAATAAGAGTGTTTTTATTGATTTTGTAGTACTAAAGTAAAATCTAATCACAAAAATAATGATAGAAGCTCAGGTACAAAATTTTATTATTTTTAGAAGTGTGAAAGAATTAAGGATTTAGTCAGATAAAGTAAAACTCGATTTCCTGAATCTAATCTCAAATTTTGTTTTGTCTTATTTCTCAACCCCTTTTAATCTAAAACAACCCCTCCAACAACTCCAACAAGTACATCTGTTAAATACAGGTTCCCATATTAAGCAAATCTATGAGAAAGAGGATTTCTGGTTGCCTAGAGCTGGCAGAGGTAAGGGGGAGGGTGGTAGCATTTGGAGGTGCTTACCTGCTGATGAGTACAGGGTTTCTTTGGGGGGTGATGAAAATGCAAATTGGTTGTGATGGTTGCACAACTGTATGAGTATTCTAAAAACCATTGAATTGTACATTTTAAAATGGGTGAAATATCTAGCATGTGAATTGTAGCTCAATAAAGCTGTTAACAAATGTTTGTGGGTTGTATCCATTACTTTAAACAAAAAATTGGAGCTTAAAATAACTTTAAAAGATAGACTGATTATACTTATAAAAACGTATTGAGGAAAGTACATTAATTTCATATAGTAAAAGTATAAACATGAAAGGTTAGGTTTTAACTTAAAAATAACATATTTCACATCTGAGATGCACAAACAAAATGATTGGACAACTTGTAGTGATGTGGAAGCTGAGACAGGAAATTAAAAAGAAAAATTAAAACTATGGCAAAACAACTAAAGCATTAAGAAATATTTTTAATTGAAGGAAATACTTTTCAAAGTTCAACTTTTATCTTTCCCTTTTCTCACATCAGCAAATATTCAGTGTTTATGTGAAATCAAAATGATGCAAACTTTTCTATTTGGGATGACTTTTTAAGCATATATCTCGACAATGAACCATATGTTCCAGTGACTTCTATGGTGAGGAAAATGTCCAGTCTAAATGGCCAAGTAGAAGAAACTCCATGCCTTC